TTTGTCCATTCTTTGTTTCTGCAGCGAAATAATAAATAATATCATAATAATAATAATTTCAGGTTTAATTACAATAAGTTTAATACAATAAGTTTAGTTTTTAAAATTTACCGTCAAAATCGTTTGCAATTTGCGAACTTGCTTGCGAACTTGGTTCGGAATTTCATAACGAATTTCGATAATTTGATGCGAAACTTCCGAATTTGATTGGCCGGTTTCCAATCAACTTGATGATCTCGTGTTTATAGTTCCCAAATTCCCAACCAACCTGGCAACTGGCGCGGTCAAAGTTTCGTGGAATCAACTGTAATAAGCTAACCAGCTTTGGACCAAGTGCGCAAAGCTTAATGGGAGCACAAGTTTCAAGCTTAATATAAATGGTTGAATGTTGCAGCTATTTGTGAATGAACTGTTCTGGTAAGGAGATATTTACCACGTCGCTATGAAATCGGCCCCATTTTTAGTGCAATGTTTCCATGGAAACGTTGCACTATTGTGATGAGTGGCGAAATTCAAGCGAGAAATACATAGAGTAAACTTTCCGGGGGGAGTTGCAAATGTTATCCCAATGCCATATCTAAAAAAACTTCAAGGTTGGAGAATTTTTAACGTTAAAACGGTATTTATAGCAACAGTAAAATTTCTTAAATTTGATTTAGCTTGACGATCAATGTTTAAAGGTCGACATTACAGCAATGTTAAAGTTTACTGAGATAACAAATATGGGGATTCGTGCCATTAGCACCCCCCGTATTATCAAATTTTCGTGAGAACTGCAAGTCAGCAAAATAAACACGCACAAATAAATATGACGACGCGTATGAGTGTTGGTCGAAATTTTAGAACAGGCCTTGGGCAAACGATTTAACATGGGTATGTATTATTTCGATGCAATTTTAGACTCTATTTCGGGGCTTCAACTCGCTGCATTTCATACGAAGCCCGAGTTTTTGCATGTCTATTTATGATTTTCTTTATAGGAATATTTCAATTTAAATCTCGTAGCTCAATTTATGTCACGAAATTTAGTTGTACAACTATATTTTATTCTTTCTATGACTGTAGCCAGTATAGGCAGACGCGTTACTTTATAAATAACATGAAATATAATATCCTCGTGCAGTATAACATGCAATATCATGTCTATATATAAATGTTTGTCTATAGTATTAAACTCTAGTTCCACATTTATAGCACGCTCGATCGTCTATATTAAATCTATAATTTCAACCCTAATCTATCTTTATATGAAAATTAATCTGCAATAAAAGCATAGTCATATAAAAACAGCATTTTTCTGATATAAAAATATATTTTGCGTGCTGTATAGTCTCATAGTACATACAGTCTGTGAACAACCGTCAATAGGTGTCGCAGAATTTGACAGAATTTTTTGTAATATTGTCTTAATTATTCATTTATTCATTTATTGAAGGCCCGCATATTGTAGCCTGTGCACATGCAGACAGCCGCAATGAGTTTTACTGATATGGATAGTTATATATGACTTGCATGAATGTATGAGAGATATTAAGATATTTGGTTTTTGTGCCGTATTAATTGAAGTAAAAGGATAATAACAAGCGCGAAGTTTGCTGATGGCATAATACTATAAATCGAGGTATACTAGCTTTTAATAACAAAGCCTTTGTTTCAATAAATTTAATTGAATTCAAGATTAAAATTTATTATGTCTTAGGTAGAGTTCGTAGGTCATCGTGTTACATTTACTTCAATACAATGTCAATGACAATGTTTACGTTTGTAAAAAGTTGCCAAGTTGGCAAATTTTACTGTTTAATTTGGCAATTAATTAATGTGTGATGTGGCCGAAATTTCGGCCTAATCTTATCAAAGGTATAATTTTGTCTGCGTTCTGTATATTAAACAAATTCAAATGCTACAAAATAATATACAGGAATATCGACAAAACTAATTTTTTGATACCGTGTTATGTATATAAGCAATTGAGACATCCATGTACGACATTAAAAATAGGTACGCGACCGCGTACATGTATCTGCGAAAAAACTTGATTCACATTTTGTATTTTCTTGAAAGAAACTGAATAATGAAGATGACATGGGACAATTGAAATATTTCATCACTTATTATAATGGCAGATAAGATTTAAAACAGGGTTGTATACAGCGGGGAGTGCAGCAGGGCAAATGCTACCCCCCCCCCCTGCACCGAGAAAATTTAACTAACTTTATAATGTGATTATGATTG